AAGCAGCATGCTCTTTCTTACCTCAAGGCATCTCGGATCATTCTCCAATGTTGGTTAGCATTGGCTCAGTTGCTCATAAGAGGAATATTCCATTTAGATTTTTCAATTTCTAAGCTCTTCACACTGATTTTCTACCTCTGGTTGCTCAAGCTTAGAATATGGAAGTCCATGGATCAAGAATATTTATCCTTGTGTAGAAACATAAAGCCCTTAAGCAGCCTCTGAGACAGCTCAATAGGGATAAATTTTGTGCTATCTCCTCAAGAGTTGAAGCATGCAGGAATAATCTCTTACAATGCCAACTTAGTTTGGACAGGAACCTATCAGGTGATAATTTGAGACTCAAAGAGAAAGAACTAGCCTTTGTATCCTCATAAATGACCCTAGCTGAGGAAATGTTCTACAAGAAAAAATAAAAAATTCATTGGCTCAAGGAAGGAGATCATAACACAGCATTTTTCATGAGGAGTTTCACTTCCAAAGCAAATAGAAGGAAAGTTATGGCTCTTGAGGACCAGAATGGTGATCAAGTTTATGGCAAAGACCTACAAAAGGAGATCCTTAGTCACTTCCAATCCATTCTTGGCCAAAGTTACTATCAGTACTCAAGTATGTCTTCCTTCTCAAACCTTATCTCTAAGACAGTCCCTGCTCACCTCCTCCCTTCACTCATTGCCATTCCCACTGACTTAGAAATCCAAACAGCCATATTATCTTTTCACCCCTACAAGAGTCCTGGTCCTGATGGGTTTAATTCTTGTTTCTTCTCACATTCTTGGCCAATTATAGGACATGATATTACTGTAGCCATTAGGGACTTCTTCATTTCAGGGAAGCTACTCACTCAGATCAATTGCTTATATATAGCCCTAGTCCCTGAAAATCCTAATCCTACCACAGTTAATGATTTCAGGCCAATTTCCTGCTGTAATTTGATTTATAAAACTATTTCCAAGTTATTAGCTAACAAGCTTACTCCCATTCTTCCCTCTCTCATTAGTCCAACACAAACTGCATTTATCAAAGGAAGACAGATCACTAATAACACTGTCTTAGCCCAAGAGTTGCTTAATGGATATCACAAGTCCAGGCATCATTCTAATTGCACTCTTAAAATTGACATCAAGAAGGCATTTGATACAGTTCATTGGCAGTTTATCATTGACCTCCTAGTTGTGTTTGGATTTCCAGATCAGTTTGTTGGTTGGATCACACAATGCATCACAACAGCTTCTTATTCCATCTCTCTTAATGGTGAAATGTTTGGATTCTTTAAAGGGAGAAGAGGGGTTAGGCAAGGTGATTCAATTTCATCTTTGCTTTCTATTTTGGCTATGGAAGTGCTCTCATTGTCCATTTCATCCCATATTAACCTTAGTATAGAGTTTAAATTCCACTAGAGATGCAACAAATTGGTAATCTCTCACATTACTTTTGTTGATGACATTATGATGTTCTCTCATGCCAACTTAGCCTCATTTCAAACACTTTTGAATTCTCTCAACCAATTTCTTTCTTGCTCTGGTCTAGCTATCAACAATTCTAAATGCTTAGCCTTCTTTGCTGGAGTGGACAATTTTACTAAGGGTGTTATACTACAACTTCTTCAGTTTGAGGCTGGCTCTTTGCCTATAACTTACCTTGGAGTGCCACTCCCTTCATCTGCTATTAAGTCTAGGGATTGTATAACCTTAGTTGAAAGGATCACCTCAAGAATTGGGAGCTGGACTTCTAGGTTTCTCTCTTATGCAGGTAGGGCAGTTCTAATAAAATCTATACTTTGCTCTATTCAAGCATATTGGTCCAGTCTTTTGTTTTGCCAAGATGTGTGTTTGAGCAGATTAATCAGGTTTTGAGGTCATTCTTTTGGTCTGGGGTTGCGATGAGGAAGAAGGGAGCTAAAGTTGCTTGGTTAGCCATATGTAGGCCAAAGATTCATGGTGGATTGGGATTTCCTGACCTGGAACTTGCTAACATTCTTGTAAACCTCAGGCACATCTGGAAACTTTGTATCAAGAAAGATAGCTTGTGGGTTGCTTAGGCATATAGGTACTTAATTAAAGCAAGGAGTATTTGGACCATTAGGTCAACTACACTGAGTTCTGGTTTTTGGAGGAGACTGTTGAAGCTAAAGGGTTTGGCTAACGGTCTTATAAGATATAGGGTGGGAGCTGGTACAGATACAATGATGTGGTTGGATTTCTAGCTTCCAAATAGCCTAATTGTCATTCAACTTGAGCTTACTGACGTGGAAATTCTTTAACTGGACACCTATGCCTCAGTTGATAGCCTAATTCCTAACTCTCAGTGGGTTATTCCATAGACAATTTAGTTCACTGCATTCTTCCAGTCACCTAAATTCTTATCCCAGCTGAACAGCATTACCCTACCACCCCCCACCCTTCAATAATCTTCCCTTGGCACCATCTTTTCTTATTCAAGCATCATATCCCTAAACATGGTATCATTACTTGGTTAGCAGTTAGGAACAGGTGTTACACTTTGGACTCTAAACCTATGCTGAACAAGCACTACACTAATGCTTGTTTCCTGTGTAAGTCAGATTATGAGTCTTTAGACCATCTTTTCTTCAGTTGTGCTTACAGTTCTCACATTTGGAGGTTTATCTAAGAGGTTGTAAGATTTACATTCCAGCCTTAATCACGAACTGACCTGATTGCTTGGTGCTCTACTTATTAGATATCAAAGAATTTCCTTGTTCACAAGCTTCTTCTCTCTGCTGCAGTTTACTTCCTTTGGATGGAGAGGAATTCCAGGGCCTTCAGAAATAAATCTTGCTCTCCACAGACTATAACTTCACAGATAAAATCATGTGTGCAAGCTAGACTTGCTTCTGTCACTTTAAGACATAGCTAAGACCTCAGTCAAGTAGTGTCTCACAGTGAGCTGCAAAACCTCTACTACAAAGGAAGTATTATCACTGGTGGACACTCTTGGTTGATCTCCTAATATCTGGTGCTTGGTGGCTGTTAATGCTTCACTTATTGTGGACACTCCTCGTGATTGTTGTTGTTCTACCACTGGTGGTTACTCTCAGTGGATGTTACTGGTGCTGACTTCTTTGTGCGGTTGTAAATTCTAACATTCAACCTTGTTGCTTCTAAACTTAGTTCCTAAGTGGCTGTTTATATGTCTAAATGTTGTGTAGGCCTGTAGGTTATGGCCAGTTGTATTTGTTTTGTTGCCCAGTGTGGCACTCATTGTATTTGTTTTGGTGCTTATTGTAGCACTCCATGTACATTCTAAACTTTATTTCTATATACAAGCTTACCTTTTAACTAAAAAAAAAAAAAAAAAAAAAAACAAATTTCCTCTGATTTATTTTGAAATAAATCTAAGGTGTCAATTCAGTACTCCAAAACATAATATCCATGATTTTCACCATCCAATTCATTCATACACCAATAGGATCATCCTTGCAGTCATTGTCTTCATCACACATGATCTCATCACCATCATTGTTATCTCCCTCATCTACTACAAGATCTCTTAACCACTGAAATCTCCTATTCAGCTTCATAAAACCAGTAATATATGCATGGCTCGGTCCTGCTGCTTCATCACTGCATTTTGTTTTACCTTTCCCCCGCGCATGGCTTGCTCCTGCCTCCTCCTCATGTCGGCATCCTTCATCATGGATAACCATGACACTCTCATTACCAGACAAAAAATTGAACTCATTCAGTTGTTCTTCAATGTCCATTTTGGTATGTTTCTTAGCTTCAATATACACCGAGAAGACTCCACACTTCTTCACAGTCAACCCGTAACCTGTTTCTATTACAATTTCCACTTCGTCTCCACTATCCACCTCAAATTCTTGCAGGGGTACAGAGCCCAGTGAAAGTTGGTCATGTGGGGTGGCACGACAAAACATTTTACGATCAAAGGGAACACAAAAATCCTTGGTTACATTAGCAACAAAGACATTATATTCTAATGATCCTGGGATTTTGATATACAAATAATGTGATTCATATACAAAACATAAAATGAAGCCTTCCATCATACTCATATGTGGAGGCACCTGAAATGACAATACTTCACCTATCCTTTGATATTTGAACCAATCAGGAACTTCAGACCAGGGAACTGATACATAATCGAATTCATTAATCCATCTTCCATTCCATCTCTGTACAATTGGAAAGATAATGTGTGAGCTAGACACTTGCATACACATGCACTCGTATAGACAAAATATATATATATATATATATATATATATATATATATAAAGGGAGAGAGACCTGTAGGAGATTTTCCGAGAAAGGGAACTCGGTTAGTTTGCTGCAATCAAGTAGAACTATCATCGCCGGGGGGGGGGGGGGGGGGGGGGGGGGGGGGGGGAAGTGTGACAGATCCGGCAATTTTTCCAATGATGTATTTGGAGCATATAACAAGCCCAAACTTGATGGAAGCTCTGGAAGTGATGCAAGCTTTGTACATCTATGCAACTTGAGGATTTTAAGATTAGAAAGCCATGATTTTGATGGTGACCTCTTACAACCTGTCTTGTCATCAAAAAGCAGAGTTGATAATTTGATCTCGCAAGAATTTTAAGAGATTTGTCAAAATTCAAGCCTTCGAGCACAAGAATTTTAAGAGATTTCAACATACAGATGCTCCTTGGGAGATTCCTAAGAATTGCACATCCTTTCAAATTCAGTAATACCAGTTTTTCTAGACTTCCAATGGATTCGTCAATCATTTTCAAACTTCTACAATCTTCAAGTGTTAAGTTCTCAAGGTTTGGGAGTGTTGAGAAGTTAGTGTTGATTCTAGTCAATAAATGGGAATGACTTAGATCAGGGATTTTCAAGTTTTCAAGAACCTGTTGAAATAAAGATTGACCACAGAATTAGTTCAAAGTGAAATATACAATGCAGAAAGAAAAAGGAAATATTAGACAATAAGTAGTTAATTCAAAGTGCTTATTATACCTTCTTGTCTTTCCAAACTTGTTTTAGGTTGCTATATTACATGTCAAGAGCAACTAGCTTCTCTTGATAGAAATTCTTTGGTATTGAATTCAGAGGGAATCCATGCCAGTATAGCCATCTTAATTCTTTAGAAAGATGTTCACAGTTTCCAGCAATGTTCACAAAATTGAGTTGTAGCAATCTTAGATTTTGTAATCTCTTAAATGCTTCATCTTTCATGACTTCGTTCATTGGTCCAATAGCTAGGCCTTCAATTTGGTCTGTTTCCTGATAAAAGTACAAGCATTTATACTTGTGTAAGTGAAAGGTAATCGATATAAGCATAAGTATTAATGTTTATATGATTAGAAATGCATTGGTTTCTTCACTTTAACATGAATTCTTGAAAACATATTCATTTGGTTGAAGTATTACCATGCAATTTTTTACAACATTAATAATATCCTCACAATGCCACAATCTGCTACGTTGTCCAGGGTAGTTAACAGGCTCTTGGCAAACAATTTCCCTTCCCATATCTCTAAGCAGATTATGCATCATAAGGTTACCTTTGTTTATTGTTAAAAGGCACCTACGAGTGAGAACACCAATACCACTTGTTGCGGAAAAACCACAGCCATCTAGTATTTTTGTGGCGTAATCTTTATCCATTCCAATAAAGAAACATGCAATATCAAGGAATGTTTTTTTTTTCATAACGATCCAATGCATCGAAGCTTATTCTAAGTTGCTCTTGAATTTTACCATGAGGAGTTTTTTTTTTTTAATTTCTCCAATTCGCTTTCCCATTCCGCTATGCTTTTGAACTCTCTCATAAACGAACCCAAAACTTCAAGGGCTAAGGGCAATCCTTGGGAGTAACCTATTACATCTTTTGAGAGCTGAACATAACCTCTTCCAGGGTCACTCCTGTCAAAGGTATGCCAACTAAAGAGCTCAAGAGATTCATTGTCAATCAAATCATCAACCATATAAGTATCATTTACTCCGGTATGCTTTAGCAGATGCTGGTTCCTAGTTGTTATGATAATTCTACTTCCCGAACCAAAAAAATCTTTTCTGGCTTTGTCTAAGTGGAAAATAAACGCAGTTAGTTGGTCTGGTTGATCCACATCATCAAGAATAAGGACCCTTTTATTGCATAGCCTATTTTTTATCACCTCGATACATTGATCAACACTGCCCACCTCTCTGACTTCTATCTTTAGTATATCATAAAGAAGCTGCTTTTGCAAACAAATTTGTGTTTTATGGTGCTTTGAATTCTCTCTAACATTTGCCAGAAAACTTTTGCTTTCAAAACTATGGAACAGATGTTTAAAAACAGCTTTGGCAATAGTTGTCTTGCCTTTTCCACCAATCCCACATATCACCACCATGCGGACATCATTAGTTCTAGCACGTAACAGAGAATTCATGTACTCCATAGGAGAATCTATTCCTACTGGATGGATGGCCACATGTAAGTACGTGTGATTCAGTACACTCGAAATCTTTTCAACAATTTTCTTGATAAACTCTTCTTCATGCCTGTTTTTGATGTTTCAATATAAGATAAGAAAGGAAAAAATCAATAAAAATGAGTGAAAATTTTAAACTGGGAATATAAAATATAACAAACTCGAATCAATCGATAGGAATTTTAGCTCTGGCCACTGCATTTAACAAATAAGAATATAGAATGGTAATTGGACTAAAATTTCACTTGTTGTATAACTTGTATCAATTATGGATTGAGTAAAATGCCATGTTTTCCTTTACAGACACAATGTAAGGCTGACGCACACACAATGCCTCTTCTAGGGTTCCAGAATTCATACAAAACATTGAAAGAAAAATTCAACATATACAATAGATTAAAGAAAATATAGATCCAATAAGGAAAAAATCGAATCTCAGGCGACGTTGCAACCGGTCCAAAATTCATAAAAAAAAAAATTACAAATCAAAGATCTATAATGAAACAGAACATATGTGAAATTAGTAGTTATTCACTCGTCGTCAGCCTCCTCCTTAGAGAGAGTTGTCCTCCTCCTTAGAGAGAGAGAGATGCCTTTAGCAGCTAGACACAGAGAATTAGGGTTTGTAACGTGATATGTATTATAATTTAATTTTATTTCGATTTTCTGTGGGGTGGGCCAAGGCTTGTTTCATTTGGGTTTGTTTAACAACAAAATAAGAATAAAATAAAGTGCATATATTATAGGGCAAACCGATTTAAGTGTATCGCTCGACTGGTTTGGGCAATTCAGTCGACTGATAGGGTTTACACTTTAACAAGCTGTTTTGTTGTCTGGATTTATTTGTGTCCAAATTGTGTTACCACTTTTAAGTGGGTTTTGGACAACGTTGTATTGCGTATATGTTGGTTAAGCTATATTATACATTATATATATATATATATAGTTTATTCCATAATTGTTTTTAACCAAGCCAAATAATCCTGAATATTTATATAACGTGTACGTGTAATGGATGTAGTTTGTAATAAATGTCATATTATATTGGCTAAATAATTATATAACGTATCACGTGATATTTTATGCAATTTGGAATTGGTTATTACCACTTTGGGAAAATGGTAGTGGTTGGTCACTTTTACCACTTTGTGGGAATTGGTGGGATTTGAACAGAGAACTATAATCGGTTAATTGTGTAATATACCTATTATATACTATCACACGTGGACATTACTAAATAAATAAAACTAAATTAATTAATAAGTTGTTCATTGTTATTTATCATGTGTATACGTGTTATATGTGAATGGAAATCTTGGTAGAAAGATTTTTATGATTTTATTCATGTTTAATTAATGATATTTTTTATATTTATTTTATTTTGCTATATGGTTGATTCGGAGGCATGGATGATTTGCCAAGGCATAAACAGAATATTGCCTTATGAATTGTGGGAACAAAATACCTACATAGGAAGCATAGTTCATATGCTATTAAATTTGTATGACCAAAAACATACTTATGAAGGCATGGACGATTTTCCAAAGCATAAATAAACTGTTATTTAAGTTGGATGAATAAATATACATCTATGTTGTTATGTCTGTAAGTTGGAAGTGGAGGCATGCACGAATTGTCAAAGTATAAAATTGAGGATATTTTGCATTGGAATTTACAGGAACACACTCCTTATTAATAATTTATTATTTAATGGTTAATTAGCCATTTATAAATAAATTGGTGGTTTGTATAATAAATATGTGTGAGAGTGTATATATATATATATAGAGAGAGAGAGAGATTGCAGAATGTTTTTATTCACAAACACACACCCACGCAGTACATATGTATGCCATATATATAGGTGCTGCACTTGGCTTCCCAAAGAAGCCACAAATGAAATCTTCCCATGTAAGCTATATATGGTGATGTCATAGATGACATACATATATTGTTGGCCCCACTTCCATTATATATATATACATAACACTCCCCCTTGAGGTTCACAATATTACATTAAGAATATGCCTCGTTAAAACCTTACTAAGGAAAATTCAATGGGACAAAACCCTAGCGAAGGAAAAAGAGTACAGTATTCTTATGTATCTGAAAATGGTATTGCATAAAGTAAAACTGCCTCATTAAAACCTTGTCAGGAAAACCCAGTGGGACAAAACCTGGACGAAGGAAAAAGAGTACAACATGTCAATACCTCTTTGATCAATTGCTCCCCCTCATTAGATCAACCCTGAAGATCCTTTAGTTGACGCATTCCAATGTTGTGCACCAACTTCTTGAAGGTTGTAGTTCGAAGCGTTTTAGTGAATAGATCTGCTAGATTTTCATATGAACGTATCTTCTGAATATCAATATTACCATTTTTTTGGAGTTCATGTGCATAAATTTTTTTTGGTGAAATGTGCTTGGTCCTGTCACTTTTAATATATCCTTCTTTCATCTATGAAATGCATGCCTCATTATCTTCATATAATACTGTTGAGCTATCTTTTATTGATGAGAGACCACATGTTGTTCGAATATGTTGGATCATTGATCTCAACCAAATGCATTCCCTGCTTGCCTCATGAATTGCGAGTATCTCAGAATGATTTGAAGAAGTTGCAATCATTGTCTGTTTCATTGATCGCCATGATATAGCAGTGCCGCCACAGGTAAACACATATCCTGTTTGTAAATAAGCTTTATGTGGATCAGAAAGATAGCCGGCATCTGCATATCCAACTAATGGAGAAATTGGTGCTTTCGAATAAAACAAGCACATATCAGTTGTGCCACAAAGATATCATAGTATGTGCTTGATTCCATTCCAATGTCTGCGAGTTGGTGCAGAACTGTACCGTGCTAATAAATTGACTGGAAAAATTATATCAGGTCTTGTGCAATTTGCAAAATACAAAAGAGCACCAATCGCACTGAGATAGGGCACTTTAGGACCAAGGAGTTCTTCATCATCTTCTCGAGGACGAAAATGATCTTTCTTGATGTCAAGTGATCGGACAACCATTGGGGAGCTCAATGGATAGGTTTTATCCATATGAAAACGTTTTAGAATCTTTTCTGTATATGTTGATTGATGGATAAAAATACCATTTGAAAAATGTTCAACCTGCAGCCCAAGGCAGAATTTTGTCTTTCCGAAATCTTTCATTTCAAATTCTTTCTTTAAATAATTGGCCGTCTTTTCGATCTCGTCCAATGTTCCCACAAGGTTCAGATCATCAACATATACTGCAACAATAACAAAACCAGATTCTGATTTGTTAATAAAAATGCATGGACAAATATGACTGTTCACATACCCTTCTTTGAGTAAGTAATTGCTAAGGCGATTATACCACATTCGTCCAGATTGCTTCAATCCATATAAGGATCGTTGTAATTTTATTGAGTGCATATTACGTAGTTTTGTTTCAGGCATTTTAAATCCTTCTGGGATTTTCATATAAATATCACTATCTAGTGATCCATATAAATATGTTGTAACCACGTCCATTAGATGCATATGCAATCTTTCTGTGACTGCCAAGTATATTATGAATCTAAAAGTAGTTGCATCAATCACAGAGGAGTATGTTTCCTCAAAATCAATACCAGGTCTTTGTGAGAAACCTTGAGCTACAAGTCGGGCTTTGTATCTCACGATTTCATTTTTCTCATTACGCCTTAGTACAAACACCCATTTGTACCCAACAGGTTTAACACCCTCAGGTATCTGGACTACTGGTCCAAATACTTCACGTTTAGCTAATGAATTTAGCTCTGCTTGTATCGCTTCTTTCCATTTTGGCCAATCATTTCTTCGTCGACATTCTTCGATGTTTTGAGGTTCTGGATCCTCATTTTCAATATCAAGAGCAACCAGATATGAGAATATGTTGTCGACAACAATTTCATTTCTATTCCATCTCGTTTCATAATTTAATGAGATCTCATCATTTTCAGGTACGTTTGTCTCATCAAGGGCCATATCATCATTTGTTACTTTTGCCTCATCAATATTTATGATTTCATCATTTTTAGGTACTTGAGACTCATCAAGAGCCTCTGCGTTATCAAAAGTTATTATCTCAGATTGATCAATAATATCTGTTGCTCTTTTTGTGGCCTCTTCAGGAGTGCCAACTTTTTTTGTGATTTCCTCTTACGAGAAATAATATCTTTTGCACCAACTGGTCTACCACGCTTCAGGCATGTTTTAAATGCATTTGCTGCATTACTGACAGAAGGTCCCTCAGGGACAGCAATTCGTGCTGGCACATTTGCAGCTGGTATATGTGATTTTATCACTTTCTTTGTATCAATAAATGCATCAGATAATTGATTTGCAACATTTTGCAAGTGAATGATCCTTTGAACTTCTCGCTCACATTGATTTGTATGAGGATCAAAATGAGACAATTCCAGGGCATTCCAAGTAAGATCACATTGCTGTTGTGCCTTTTCTCACCCTAATGGTGGAAAAACAGTCTCATCAAAATGACAGTCAGCAAATCGTGCTTTAAAGACATCACTTGTCAGGAGTTCAAGATATCTAATAATAAATGGAGAATCAAAACCAACATAAATTCCAAGTCTACGTTGAGGACCCATTTTAGTGCGTTGGAGTGATGCAATTGGAACATATACAGCACAACCAAAAACTCGTATGTGGGAGATATTCGGTTGTTAACAAAAAACAAGTTGCAATGGTGAGTACTTATGATAAGCAGTTGGTCGTATACGAACTAATAATGCAGCATGTAATATGGCATGACCCTAGGCAGAAACAGGTAATTTTGTTCATATAAGTAAAGGACGATCAATTAGCTGAAGTCTTTTAATAAAAGATTCAGCCATACCATTTTGAATATGAGTGTGTGCAACAGAATGTTCAACATTAATTCCAACTGACATGCAATAATCATCAAAAGCTTGAGAAGAAAATTCAGCGGCATTATCAAGACGAATTGTCTTAATTGAGTAATCAGGAAAATGTGCCCGTAATTTGATAATTTGAGCAAGGAGTCTAGCAAATGCAACATTACGGGTAACATGTGACCATCGTGTTGATGCATCAATTAAGACCATAAAATAACGAAATGGTCCAGAGGGTGGATGAATTGGCCCACATATATCCCCATGAATTCATTGTAAAAATGGAGGAGACTCAACAATGACTTTTGAAGGGGATGGTCTGATAATCAACTTACCTTGTGAACAGGCGGTGCATAGATGATTATTTGGTAAGATGATTTTCTGATCCTTTAGTGGGTGACCATGTGAATTTTTAATAATTCGACGCATCATTGTACTCCCTAGGTGACCAAGTCGATCATGCCAAAGCATAAAAAAATTTGGGTCACAAGATTTTTTATGGATCACAACATTTGACTCAAATGTTCTAATAGTTGTATAGTATAACCGAGAAGAGAAAACATGGAGTTTTTCTAATATCAGCTTTTTGCCTGAGGTAATGGAAGTAACATAGAAGTATTCCACATTTCTTTCATTTGCAGTCTCAATATGATTCCCATTACGACGCAAGTCTTTAAAACTCAACAGATTTCTCTGAGATCTTATAGAATATAAGGCATCATTGATTTGTAATCTTGTTCTATGTGGTAAAATGATGTTGGCTCGTCCAAAACCTTCAATCAAGTCGATGGGACCTGATATGGTACTGACACTGGCATCTGACAGAATTAAATGGGAAAAATATTTTTGATCTCGAAGTATTGTATGTGTTATTCCACTAACTGCAAGACATATGTCTTCTCCATTTATATTTGAACTAATCAGATCTATTCCTATTCATGCAAATTTCTTTATTAGAAAAGAAACTTTTATAACAAAATAAACTTTAATACAAACTAGAGGATAAAAACTTTAATACAAGGAAAATACAAGGAAAATAAAAATATAGTAGACAGAATATGAAAAGAAAATAAGATTAATTGGTGTGGACATTTCCATCACTAATCAGAAAGTTTATCCTTTCATCATGGTCCTCAAAAAAATCTGAAACATCCAGATTTGTAATGTTAATTGGCTCATCATGATTAATGAAATTCATTTCCAGATTTGTGGTGTCAACTGGCTCATCATGATCAAGGAAATTCATTTCCTTTTGTTTTCCTTTTTCTTTCATTGAGGCTTGGTAAAGTTCAGCTAGATACTTAGTTGTACGACATATATTTTGCCAATGCCCTGTCATGCCACACCAATAACAAGTATTATCGTGTGCATTGGAAGGTTGAGCCACATCCTTCCTTTTTACTTGTCTCATTTCATTATGATCTTTCCTTTGAGGATATGGTGTGGATCTCTGATTGCGAAAATGTAAGGATTGATATCCTTCACGATAATAAAAATGATTTCTACCACGACCATATTCATTATTATGATAGTTATTTTTGCCACGACCATATTCATTTCTACCACCACGACCACTTTATGAGGCAACATATGTTTCAGGGATCAGTGTCGATCCAGTTGGACAGGACTGGTGGTTTCTTCGAGGCGTGAAATGTGGTGAATGTGTTTTCTAACAAAAGTTCATCAGTAACAGTATCACCACATAATTTCAATATAGAGCTGATTTTGAATAGATCAGAGTTATATTCAGCCACAGTTTTAAAATCTTGCAACCTCAGTTGCAGCCAATCAGCCCTGGCCTTTGGGAGGATGACTGTTTTTTGATGATCATATCTTTCTTTCAAATTATTCCACAAACAAAGTGGATCTCTTTCAGTGAGGTATTCAGTTTTCAGTTCCTCACTAATATGGCATCGGAGAAAATCATGGCCTTTGCTTTATCTTGCAATGATGCCTCATTGTTTTCTTTAATTGTGTCACCAAAGCCCATGGCATCCAAATGAATCTGAACATCTAGAATCCAAGATAAATAATTTTTGCCAAAAATATCCAGGGCCACGAATTTCAGCTTTGTCAAATTTGACATTTTCAGAATAACTAGATGTGACAACAATATAAAAATATAATTTAACATATAAATAAAATGGAATTAAAATGAAATAATAATATAATATAAATTATTTAAACAACAATAATGGTCAATCCGGTCATTATAAATAAATTATTAAACAATAAAGGCGGTAAAACCAGCCATAAAATATTAAATAATAAAGGTGGTAAGACCGATCATAATTAGTAAATTATTAAATAATAGAGGTAGTAGAACCGACCATAGTGTAAGCATATATATCATTTAAGTGAACAACTTTATTTTACTAATAATAATCCATAATTAAAATTTTCTTACCCTTTGGAGTTAGAAATATTATTTTCTCCGATGAAGCAAACCAACCCAACAATTTATCAAAACTAATATCACAAAATAGATATATAGTTGGGATAGAAAGAGTGAGAGAAAGCTTTCTTCTTCAACTCTTAGATGGATAGCTCGTGCTGATAACGTATAATAAATATGTGTGAGAGTGTGTATATATATATATATATATATAGAGAGAGAGAAAGAGAGAGAGAGAGAATGGCGAAGAGAGAGAGAGAGAGAGAGAGATTGCAGAATGCTTTTATTCACAAACACACACCCACGTAATACATATGTATGCCATATATATAGGTGCTGCACTTGGCTTCCCAAAGAAGCCACAAATGAAATCTTCCCATGTAAGCTATATACGGTGATGTCATGAATGACATACATATATTGTGGGCCCCACTTCCTTTATATATATATATATATATATATATACATAACAGTTTGATTAATTTTCTCTTAAAAGAGAATGGTACTTGAAG